AAGGTAGTTTTAGCCTCTAATGTAAGTGTCCTTGGAGAGGTGGGGGCTATATCCCCCTTGAGAATGTCAAAGAGAGGGCCTAAATCATGAGTTGTTAGCTTAAGAGCTGGGTAGAGTCAATTATTATTACCAAGTAAAGTCTGAAAAATCAGTTAGGGTTGCAAGATGATTAATCTGGATCTGAATAGGTTGGGGCACAATATGTCTCTGTTGGATAAGGTGAGTCAAATATGAAAAAGGTGCCATAGTTTGCACCTTTTGGGGGGCCACCACTAGGCCTGCACTACAAAAGGCATCATCTAATTGAATACTTACTTGGTGCAAGGTAGATGAAAATTCATATGCTAGAAGAACATCATCCATGTAATGGATAAGGTAAGCAGATGGATGAGCCTAATGGACTGACAAAATGACTACAGCCAAAAATTCTTGACATAGGGTTGGACTATTTTCCATTCCTGTGGCAGACAACACCGTTGGAAGTGGTTGCATAGGAGCCTGATGATTAACAGAGGGTAAACTAAAGGCAAAAGGTTTTTATCTTGAGGATGTAGGGGGATTGTAAAAAAAAAAAAAAGTTTTTAAAATCAATCATCACTAGGGAAAAATGTAAAGGGATAGCTACAGGACTGGACAATCCTTGTTGAAGTGTTCCCATATGTTCCATGGTGTGATTAACTGCCCACAAATCCTGTAGTAATCTCCTCTTTCTTGACTTTTTATTACAAATTTGGGATATTCCAAGGGCTACTGGAGAATTCTAGGTGTCCCACCATCATCTGTTCATTAGCCAGCTGTTATAAGCTTCTCCTGAGTGAGGGGTCATTGATCAAACAGGGCCATCAGACATCCAGTTATCTTGGACACCATCTGTGGGGTTGGAGAAGAGATCAAGGCTTCCCAAAAATGTGAAGGTGAGTATCCTATGCCAAAATGGTCCCTTTTAGGGTCTACTAGAAGGGATTCTCTCCTTCCCTGATTGTATTTACCAAGCCCTTGTGTGGGGAGAAAACCTTGTTGTAACATTTGGTAAGTCACCAAGGAGTTAGGACTGACAAAAAATTCAAGAGTTTTTGGCTGCAGCCATTTTGTCAGTCCCAAAATGGGTCGACCTTTCAAATCAGTTTTAGATCTACACTCACTTACCCACTGATACCCTCACTTACTCCTTGTCCAGATAACAGGTTGTGTTGAAGGGACAGATAGCGAGTGTGCTGCCCTTACAGATGAAGCAGAGCAATCTCAGGCAAAATGTCCCCCACCCCCAGAGCCGAAACAAGTAACTTTGTTCTTTCCTTTCGTCTAGGGTGTGGATAAACAACCTGAGTGATAATTGCTGCCAAGGCAGCCCCTTGTACATATGAGGGGCCAATGTCTGCACAAATTTGAATCATCTCAGCATGGCCCATTTTTTATGGGCTCCCTCTTTACACTATTTATTTGCATTTTCAAAGGCCTGTTGTTGAATGATTAACTTGCCAGCCTCTGTGTCATTGATAATCCTCCCACTAGCCTGTAATAGGCGTGCCACAAAATCCTGAAAGGTTTCATCAGGACCCTTGATGAATAGAGGTCAGATCGAGGGATGTCTCACCCTTTGAAGGGAGTTCCCGCCAAGCCCTTGTGGTAGCTATTTTAATTTGTTCATATACTTGCAATTTTTTAAAGGTGATTATTTGTGGCAGCAAAGGCACCTTCTCTGGTTAACATGTCTTTTGTAACAGCTATGTTGTCAGCAGCATTGCGAGTGGCCTGATCTAGACACAATTCAAAATATTTCCCTTCCACAATAAATAATCCCTGGACTTAAACACGCTTTAGCTATTTCTTCCCAATCATTTGGGGCCATAACCTATTGTCCTAGGAGTTCTATTAAAACCAAAGTAAAAGGGGCTGTGGGGCTGTTGGTAGTGGTAGTGGTAACTTGTTTTAACTCTTTTAGGGTCTTAAAGGGTACAGCTTCATGAAGACGTGAGTTCAGTAACAGGGTAGATATGTTGAAAACCCTCCATGGACTACCCTTCCTGTCCGGCTTCCTTTAGCAACAGTTGCAAGGCAGAGAGAGATTGACTTTATTCCCTGAAGGTGGAAGTTTCAACCTGTGAAGCAGCAAAATTTCTCTAAAGTGAAAAGGTTGAGGTTGTCGCTTATGGCTCAGTTGTCTATTTTACCTTGGAGGCTGTGAAACTGAAGCTGCAGCAAAATACTCCTCTGGTGGTGAAGGGTCTTTTTGTCCCCTACAGCTCCTTCCTTATCTGACTGAGCAAAGCTAGAGGACTGAAGCTCTATGGGGCAGGGCTGTTGTTCTGTCATCCCTTTTTTGCTCAGGACTTCATTTTAAAATAGTTCTCCAAGCCAAATCCTCCATGGTTGTCTCAACAAGTATGACCATTATGACACTCCCTAATCCAAATTCAGAGAAAAAAAGTAAATATGGGAATCAGTAATAGAATGGGCATTTGTGTATACATCTGTGGTTCTTGAAAACCTACTTGCCCCATGTTTTACACCTGATATCAACATCAATACACCTCTGTGATCTATAGTGATGCTATCAATGCACTTTACAGCCTTTTGTGTGCACAGCTGGAAGTACCCTCTCACTGGCTATGTCTTTGTACCCTGAGTCTGTGTTCAGGTGCCAAAATTGCCACATCCAGCACAGCTCTTGAAACTCTTAGGGTGAAGGATGGTGGTAGGACGAAGAGATAAAAGAGTCAGGAAACAGAAAGCTGAGGTTAGGTGGAGCCCTCTCTCTGGATGGAGAAAAGGAACTGCTCAAAGACCATGGCGCGTTTATTTATACACTCAGCAGGTTGATGTCATGTGACACCCCTCTGCCTAGCAACCTGTTTGCTTGGCTTGCCTTGGACACTTGGTGTTCCCTGAGCTGGGGCAGCTTGCTCATGTCATTTGCCTTGTGCACTTCTTGTTCTCAGGACTGGCCTTGCTCTAGCCCTGCCTATGTGATCAATTTCCAGCTTCAGCCACTACCCACAGTGAGAGACACAAAGAAAAACAGGTCTGTGGCACTGTCAGACGAAGGATTCATTTGCTCACTGTGTGGTGGCTGAGATTATAAATGTAAACTTGGGTGAAGTCTACCCAAGGGCAAGTGTCTGCATTAATACTACTGTGCTCCGTCAAGTTACATTTATTTGGTGGGTAAATAGCTGCTAGATAATAACCTGTCCTGTTTTATCTTTTCTCTTCCTAATGTGTCAGCAAAAAGGCCCACAGACATCACAGATTATTTTGATGGTAGTCAGTCCTAAGCAGTCTGGAGATAGCAGGTTGTACTACATACAAAAAAATGACACACAATCACATAATATTGATTTCTACACCTTGGTTATATTCGTGTCATAGTGTTTATGCCTCATTGCTTTGGAAGAGGCTACCACTGTTATAAAGAGAATGCATCTGAGCTCCTTTAACACGTCTGTATTTAGCATGACTTGGTGGATTCTTCCTTTGGAGCGTGTATTTTGCTGTGTTTGCAGAACTCCAGGCAAAGGATTGAGGCACTCATTACATTCATTCAATAATTTATTTACTGAGGTATTTACAATAATGAATGAGACATGGTCTCCAGCTGTTCTTGGGAATTTAAGAATCTACAAAATGAGGCAGTCTGCATATGGATTCCGGGTGTATCTGATGTGTGCCTGCTGTTTTCAGTGTGGAGATCTCATCATATGCCCTCTTCACTTTCATTCTTATTTCTCAGTAACTCTCCTTTGCATGAAATCTTTACGCTTAGGGCTTTCTCTAAAGGAAAGGAATAAATCGTGCATTCTCACATCTTTTCGAGGGTGGTGGTAATAGAGACAGGGATTTGAGGGAGAATAAACCTCAGCAATAGCTGAATTTATGTCATTCAACCCTTGGGGCTGCAAGGGGACTAGACATCTGGCTGAGGGTGAGGCACCACCAGCAAACCTGCAGCTCATTCTTATGAGGATAACAGCAACTACAGCTTCTCCCTCCACTGAAGATGTTACTGTCCTCACAGATAGGACAATGGAAAATTCTGAAAGGAATGCATATTGGGAAAGGAGGAGGGAAGAGGAGAACTTTAGTAGGAAAAAGTGGGTCTAGGAGGCAGATGGAGCCTGCGGTAATGAAAGTGGGACGCTTGCATCTCTTTCCCACTCTGCATTCAATGACATCATGCTGGTCACTTGAAAATGGTCATAGACATTTACACTGCAATTTGGCAAAGGCTGTAAATCAGGGCTTTCCCCACCTGGACAGCCGTTTGATATATATTTACTAGTACCTTGCCTAGCTTCTAGACTCGAATTTCAATACATTTTTCTTTCTAAGAAAACAGGTATTTCTTTCTCCCAGCCCTGGACATGAACTCAACTTTGTGGATTTCTGATTGGAGGAGCAGTTTCAGGGGATAAAGATGGGACGGAAACTGTACTGTGGCATCTGGTAACATGGACACTTGGCTCCACATCCGGCATTATTCCTCCCCCTTCCCATTCTTTCACAAGATACCTCTGTTACCAACTCAAGAAAATACCTCCACCACACATCTGTCTTTCCTTCTGCACTGAGGAAGACTGTGGGGAAAGGACTGTGATTGCTAATGGATTGATTACTGACGGTCGTCTTGTGATCCCCAGCTGAACGGAGTGAACGTGGTGCTGGGTGTGGGAGGCCTGCCTGAGGACTGTTACCATCAGCTGAGAGGCAGAATTGGAAAGGGATGATGAATTTCTCCTGTTGGTTTTAGTTACGTTCTTTGCTCTAATAAAAGGTGATTGGGATCAGTGATTGGGGCCGCCGCAGTCTGAGAGGCTGTAAGCCCCCTGATCCCAGATTTTTAGCTCTCTTGTTTTTCTTGTCTCTTTTACCTTTTCTTATTCATCTCTGGGTGCCTCGTTCTCAGGACCTGTCACTATAGTTAATACCAACAGAAGACAAGTAACAATAGACTGGTTTTTGTACTTATAAATTTTTATACTTATAATAAGAGCAAAACCACCTGGATTTATATATTTATTGTTTAGCTCATGATTAACATTTGCTTTTTACAGCAGATATAACTTATGTGACTTTGACCAATATATTTATTGCTGCCTACTGTTAGTTTACACCTCTGAGATCAGCACCTTGTTTCCCCACTTCGTCCAAATGCACTGGGTGGTGTTGGTCTGCTTCTGGCTCCAACAAGCAGTACTCAGATCTGGCCAAAGTCATGATGAGTCACTCAGGAGCAGGCAATCAAGGGTCCAGAGATGCAGAGGCACTTGTGGGAACTGTTGAGAAGCAGGCACACATGCTTCTCTACTGAATACAGACCTCACAGAATGGAAGCCAGGAGCTGCGAGAATGAGATGATCCTACTAACCTAGCTTCAGTCTCTAGATCCAACCATGCTTGCAAGTCTATAAATTATTCCTAGATCTGGCAGATACAGAACTTATACATTTTTTTAGCTAAAGTATCTGGAGTAGTTCACATGCAACTGAGAGAGTCCTAACTGATCCAGTATATCCATAATTTCTGTTACGAGAATTTGCAGTCTTTCCAAAAGAAATGGATCACAAAGATTTTGATATGATATGTTGATCTTTCCAAATGATAAATTCTCTGTCCTTTTATTTTTATAGCATTTTACTAAAATATTTACTCTTAAATATTTGCTTTACATTTATACATAAAATCACATTTACCTAAAAATTATAAGCAGGATTTATTTAAAAAAGTCTCTGAAGCGTGTTAAGTAGGAATACTCTTTTTTGCCTCATCTACAGTTTTAACTGCTTTCACCCTCTGCAAGGCTCCTCCTCGAACAGGCAGCTTTTTAAGAGCAATATCTGTGTCAGCCAGGGGTCCGCCCAGTAATCGGACAGGAGTGCTTTCCACTGTCACTACTCGGCCAGAGGGAACCTAAAAAAGCAAAAGATAAATACCTAAGTAAGTCTACAGATACAATTTTCCCATGAAGGGAAAACCCATTCATCCTTTAGCTTACTTTGAAAAAATTACACAATGTAAATATAAGTAATTTTTCTCAAATGGCATGGGGATGAAGAGATGGTGGCAAGGGAGGGACAGGGATGAAAAAGGAATTAAGATGTGTTGTGTACCTGGACCAACCCCCAGCACGGAACCCAATCATTATATACTGCAAACATGCCGAGTAACTAGGAAGGCAGCAGGGCAGAACGGAAAGAGAACTCTGGAGCTAGGAAAAGTGGGTTTCAGTTCTACTCCTGCTTACCTCCTTTGTAACCAACAGAGGGCGCCAGGAACGCCGGCTACGGCCGCTCCTCTCTAGACAGAGATGGAGACACACACACTAGTGTTTCTGGACAGACAGAGACTATTGATGGCGGAGATTTCCTAGGGACCTGGCGGGAATGCTCCGCTCTAAACCAGCGCTGGGCAACAGGGGCGGAGGGGAGATCGTACCCTGGAGATAAATATACCTTAACAATGGGAAACCACAGTAAGGAGAAAAAGTACAACACGAAATTCCCATAGACATATCAGTTCTGGGACCTACATGTATTTATCTATTAAGAAAAAGAAGTGGAGGAAGTCTTACCGTTGTGTTAAGGCCTTTAATAACTGTCGGGTGAGAAACTGCATTTTGTGGTCGCTCATTATACTTAGAGGACTCTATCGCCTTTTCCTGAAGCCTTTTTGCTTTCTGAAAAAATTTTCAGTTAGAAAGAAAATAATACTAAGTGCTATTAAATCACTAACCATGGTACTTATACTGAAAATACAAAGTACATTTAATTATGTTTGGCTTATTCTTTGGCTGTGTATTACAAGGTCCCACGACCTGCCTTTAGTCATTCAGGTGCTTACTCATTAATGTAAATCGGGTTCTTTGTGCATTGAAGAAAACACCAGGCACCTGAAAACATTCTGGTGATTTCCAGAGGTACCGGTCATATTTGACAAAGGAGTAAAGCAAGTACTGAGGAAATCAGATTTCATTTTTTAGCACATAATTTAATAAGCTACTAAATTCATATCAGGCTATGCATGTTTCAAAATGTGTTGCATAAATTAAATACTAATTCAATACACTTAAATGTGTTGACTATTTGGAATAATATAAATTATATCATTCATTGCTGGGCGTGGTGGTGCATGCCTGTAATCCCAGCACTGGGGGGGCTGAGGCAGGAGGATTGTTGTGAGTTTGAGGCCAGCCTGGGTTACAAAGTGAGCTCAAGGCCAGCCTGAACTGCATAGTGAGACCCTGTCTCAAAAAGACCAAAAAAAAGTATATAAAAAATTATATCATTCATTGTAGTTATAGTCAAGTTCACTACTTGAGGCACTGAATAGGTAAAATGTAGGTAACAAATGCTCTACAAGGAAGGGACTTCTCATTAACTATGCCTTAAAGATACAAGCAGTTATGAGGACGCTTTGTGAGTACAGTTGGAAGGAACGTCCAGGAAAAAGGGGGTTACCTGGTACCCCAAGTGGCCTTGTTCTTAGGTCCGCTACCTTAATATGGTTCTTTTATTTTTGTGGACTAACTTAACATTTACCAATCTCAAATCTGGAGGAAGAATTGTAACATTAAGTAAACAACCATCTAAAGTAGTAATGGAAAAGGTGTGTGAAAGTAGTAAAGGAAAAGTAATGAGATTTTGGAAATCCACAGCGGTTCTCACAAATTTAAAGTCAATAATTAGCGTATGAACTTTTAGGCTGGTTTCTAGCTTCTAGCAGAAGCAGATTTTCATTTTTTCCAAAGAGGCATTTACCTTAAATTCTCATTTAAACTTTGTTTCTTTTGGTAGTTAAAGAGGGGAAAGCCTTTGGGGCTTCTTACAGAAAAGAAATGACAGAATAAGAAGGTGTTCTACAGAAAGGTCATCAGAAAACTAAACGAATATCCATGTCTGAAAAAAAAAATCTGTCCTTAAGATACTCGTTGTTTGTTGTATATATTGTAATAGCTTTAAAAATCTTACCTTTAATGTTTTAGCATTTGATGTTCTAGCCAAGAAATTTTCCCATGATTTATTAGCCAGTTCTCTTTGCTTGTGTGAGGTTTGTATCTGACAGGAGAAAGATAAGCAAGGATTTCAGTTTCTATGAAAGAATAGCGAAGGGCCTTTTAAAGGCCGTGCCTACTCTTCACTAAGGTAAAATTTATGACTAAGTAGCAAAAGGATTGGAGTATTCATAGAACTTAACTTAAAAACACAAAAAACTTCAAATAAAAAATCCTTCACTCACAGGGCTAAGATCTGAACTACTTTCCACGAGAGGTGATGCAAAACTGCTATTTTAACAATGATAAACTTTCTCTGCAAGATGGGACTGCTTTGCATGATTACTATCTGTGAAGACGGACTATAATCCAGAGGAAACTAAATACACGATGTAAAGAGAAAATTCACAGGAGAACATAAAGACATTCCTGCCGACCACTAATAATGAGGTTAGGTAAAATTATATTGGTGAAAGTACTTCTAATTTATGACTGCAACAAGACAGGCAGTTCTGTGAGAACGCTGAGTTTGTTGTAACCCAATCTGGAGAAGCAACTGTGAACAAACCGTGCAGCAAGCTAAGCACACACCCGAGGACGCAGCCCTTGGTCAGTGTGTTCAGGTGTGGAGTCACTGCCACAGAGTGATGAGCGCGTAGTAGAATATTAACTTTTGACCTTGCAAGCCACTCACAAGAACTGTACATTCTTCACTAGATGATCTAACCGCTTGTCATGTCTTAAAGACACAACACCACAAGTCTCTTTTAAGGATAAGCAAATACGTTTCATGCTGATCGATTCCTTTGATCATTGACCCTACTTAGCCCATACATATTCGTTAGTTAATTTTACTCAGGAGGGCTGTTTTTAACAACACCAAGAGCACTGTCCCTTGACTATTGGTAAATTCTTTTTACCACCTGTGGCACTGGCCTGTCACATGCAGTGCCACTGAGCTTAAATTATGTACCTAAGAATATCTAATTAAACAACTGCTAGACAGGTGGGATCAGGGCTATGCTAAGGAGTCATCCATAAAAATCAACACTACTTAGTTAACACAGTACAGAAAACATTCTTCTATTCAGAAGAGTAATACGAGGCTGCATAAATTCCAACTGTACTGCCCCATGTAAGAGCCAACTAAGGGATTCAATGGCAGCATTCATTTCACCTCTCACTGAAAACAGTTTAAAGCAACAGGTTGTATGAAATGGAATGGAATTCACAGATTGACACAGTTCCTACTAGACTGTAGCTATAAACACTGCAGAGTCTGTATAAAAAATTAAGCAACAGAAAACACTTTGAAGAGTTTAACATATTCATTTGTAGTCAATAAAGGATTACAAAGCAGAAGTTGGGGATCTACATCATTTTTGTATCTCTGGATAAGTTAATTTAAATAGCCACTTAATTTAATTGCTCAAAAAACAAATGACGCATTCAGTTAATTGCCCTTGTAAAGTTTTAAGAAACTGGTTATTATCTTCCTGACCAAGTTTTCCAGTTGGCGAAAGTGAGAGACTAGTTTACCTCTGAGGTTACAGAATGGATGCTCGTGGTAAGGGTTTTGGCACTGAGATGAGGATGATCTGATGATTTATAAGCCCACAAGCGGCGTGCCAGTACGCATGAAGTTACACATATCATTACTGATAAACTGTCAGGCAGAATCTGGGAAATGAATGCATTTAAACAGACCACAAGTTTTGGGAGCTTGTTTTGGCATTTCAAAACATGGAGGTGTCTCAGGTATTGTTTTACCTTTTAAAAATATGGCAGTAGAAATCAAATTATAATGTCACAGAACAGCTTTGAAAACAGTAATTGAATCTTGAACTTTTTTTTTTTTCTTTCTTTTTGTCTTTTTGAGACAAGATCTCGCTATGCAGCTCAGGCTGGCCTTAAGCTCACTTTGTAGACCGAGTTGGGCTCGAACTCGCAACAATCCTCCTGCCTCAGCCTCCCGAGTGCTGGGATTACAGGCGTGCGCCACCACGCCTGGCGAATCTTAAACTTTTAACTCCCTGATTTCTTCTAAAACTGCACAGAAACACTGAAAATAACTATGAGAGAAAAGCAAAAGAACCCACAAGACAAACACATGTACGGATCACTTTGTCTCATCTATACATTGACATTAGTATCTTGTGCCTCCAGGGCATCTGCGCCTTACTTTCGTGTACACTTTCTGTTCGTTTTGCACATCATGGCGCACTTGGCTTTCGATCATCTCACTTTGCAGAGAAGCAACCATCTTGCCAATATTTTCTGAGGCTGTTGTAATAGTTTCCAAAATTCTTTTATCTGAAGTGACTGGTCTTAGGTTTTCCAGTTTTATTTCTTCATATATTTCATTCCATATCTCACCGATCTATTGTAATAAAATGTAACAAAGTCAAATTGGGTATGGGTCACTCTTGTTAACCCTTGATGCCTTCCTTCTTAGGAATCAGTTAACAGGATATGGATTGCCAGCTACATTCGAGTATTCACAAACAATTTACCAAATGTTTCTGAATGAGTCCATGTGTTCATGGCTAACAGACCTCAGCTCACTGCCCTCTGGTAGTTACATTGTTTTCTCAGCAGCAGGAACTGCTGATTTAGTCTCATCTTTTTGAACTACTGCTGTTTCCTCCCTAAGGTCCTGTACTGAAGACAGGGTCAAGGTCAGTGTGTAGGACAATAAATATGGGTTCCCGCGACCCTAGCACACAGTCACTCCTAGAAACAGGGCCCTGCCACTTACCTGGTTGCTAAGGCAAATTGTAACTGAATCTCCATCTTTTAACTCTGTGTATCACACCAAAGGTGGCCACTCATATGTGGGGTTGTCTAGAAATTAATTAATGTGCTATAGCAGGTTTAAAACTGGAGAAAAATTTATGTATTTTACATAGGTATTAAATTTGATTTTGTTTTCATTTGAAATTAGGGGCTTATGCATTTACAACATTCAGATACATACTGTGTTTCCCCCAAAACGAGACCTAACTGGAAAATAAATCAGCCTTGAAAACTAGAGAATAAAATGCCAGCCTCAATCAGCCTGTCTTTGTCTTACCTGCCTTACAGAGTAATCACTGAGCAAGAGAAATAGTGCTGGCAAATATAATTATTCACTGATGAAAATATAACCAGTGAAGTAGGCTTCCTAATATATTTTAATTGATCATGCTTTAAAGTAATAATATAGAAATACTTGGATAAATATCAATACTTGATTTTAGTAAATAGTAACATTTAATTCTAACTCATTGCTCTCGAAAGAGAAGAATTTTTATTTAAAAATTTGTTAGGCTTCTGAATAGCTCATTCAATAATACTTATTTTATTTTATAACCTAATGTTGGATGAAATCCTACTTCACAAACAACACCCAGTTAATTAATGTTTACAAATGTAGATGGAAAATGGAGAATAAAAACTATGTAACATGTGGATGACTGCTCACAGCTCTGAATAAATCTTTGTTTCTCAATTTAGTTTTGTTATAATAGATTTTAATAACATTATTAAGCAAAACTGTTAACAAAATCATTAAAATGGTACTTACTTTAAAATCAAGATATCTATGTATGATACAGAGGGTGACAAAATCCTCAGCAGACAGGCCAGGTAAGTTTTCAAAATCTAAATAAGGTTTATAAATAGAGAGTTACTTAAACAGAGCAAGTGATCAAGAAGCATATAATTAAAAACAAACGTAAACGGTTGTCTTGGTTACTTTTTTCTCGTTGCTGAGACAAAATACCCAACACCCAAAATGAAGGAAGGAAAGGTTTATTTAGCTCACAGTTTGTGGAGGTTTCAGTCCATACTTGGCTGGCTCCGAGGCAGAAGATAGCAAAGCAACAAGAGCAAAGGGGGGAATGGCAGCCGAACAGCAAACAGCCAGAGCAAACCCGGAGGAAATGCCGGCAAGCAGCTTTTTTTTCCCTGCCTTACTTTGTAAACAGGGTACCCCCACCTAAGGGGCGTGTAGCTCTCACATAATCTCCATGCCCTCCTCTTCCACAGGCTCAGGATGTATACAAAGTAAGTGTTCTGGCTTCCTGCTGAGTTACTTAGCCAAACCTCTAGACTCCCCAAGTTGACACAATGTTTCAACCATGACAACGGTTCTTTTTACTTTCATCTCAATTTATGAAATAGCTGCTTGTGTGAGAGTCACTGCCTCCTGTAAAGGTCATCCTCATCCAGTTATAACTGCAGACACCACTGTTTCTGTGTCCAGGGAGACAGTGATATTTAACTTTCAGAAGGTGGAGAGTGAGGACTCCCTTCATAGGAAGCAAATACTTAAAGAAAGCTAGCAAAGGCTCAGAATGCAAATTGCTTAAGGCTGATCATCTGAACTAACTGCCCTTCATCCCAGCTGCACACTGGAATTGGCTGGGAAACTTGTAAAAATACAGATGCTGGGGCTGCACGTCCAGAAATTCTGATTTATTTGGTCTTTGGCGCACTCTGGGCATTGGGGTATCAAGGGATCACACATTTGTCCACACAAACGGACTTTTATTCAGGTTTGAAAAGTGGACTCCAAAACAAAATCACTGTCCAGTGATGCTCAGCCATACAGGGAAGCGCTTATGGATTTGAGGAGTAGCTGCTTACCTAGTTTGCCCAGCACAGCATAAATTTTTGCTCTGATATTCTCAGCAACATCCATAACCGCAATAGAGGGGCAGTTAGCAGGCAGAGGTGTGGTTTTTTGCTCTTCTTGAAAACTAGTAAACAGAGGTTTCTTTGTATCTAGTCATTGGATATCACAAAAGCATGGAAGGAATAGATAAAAACTAGAGTAAGTAAACACTTAATTTTGAAACTTTAGTCTACAGGACAGAAAAATATTTAAAAACATTACAAAACAAATTACAAGAGTGCAATAGTACCTTAGACATAGTTACTTTTTTGAAAGTATAATCAGGAAATTCTTCTCTTCAGCAAAACTTAAAGCTTTCATTTTTATTGTTTATACAAAATATAAAATTATTTTTAGAAGGGGACTTTTTATGTAAGTGATTTGTACAACTTTGAGATCCAGAAACTGAATAGTGTCAGATTAATTTTGTAGTTTTTGTGTTGTTTTGATTTTGTCTTGTTCTGTTAGTTTTTTAAATTTTTAACATACAAAAAAGTAATGTAACTCCTTTTCTTTGGTATCTAAACATTGTTATAAATATAAAACATATTTTGTGATGGTATAGATAAAAATAACCAAGGCATGGTAGCACATGTCTGTAATCCCAGCATTCTGGAAGGCTAAGGCAAGAGAATCCCAAGTTTGGGCCCAGCCTGGCCAATTTAGTGACTTAAAGAGGCCCTGCCTAAAAAAAAAAAAAAAAATGCGATGAGAATATAGGTCAGTGAGAAGGCCCTGGGCTGAATTTCCAGGATCGGCAAACAAGCAAACAAAAAATTTCAACTAATAAAAATGCACTGAAGATAGAAATCATCAGAGGCAGAAGCATTTTCATTTAAAAATAAATAACACTGATATTTTTGACAAATTAAAATTAGAATCTTAAAAGGCTTAAGAGATTTAATGTAGCATTATAGAACACATAAATGAACAATATATTGTGATACTATAAACCTCATGGGAGTATGGTAATTAAAATCTATGAATCTTTGTTTTATTTTTACTTAGGAAACTGTTTATAAATTGTGTATATATTAAGGTACAAAATGTTATGAAGCACTCTATCAGTATCCCTAAAATTTATTGGTAAACAGAATAATACTAAATCTCTTTGTAAAAGCAGGAAACCTAAGAAAATTTCATTAGAAAGTGCTGTTAAATTTTTAGTTAAAATGTAGCCAAATATCATGTTTTTAAAACATTCCATAAAAAATATAAACCTGCCATTGATTTTCTCAATTTTCTTCTAGTCACTGAGAACTTATATTAAAAACTTTTTTTTAATTTCAGTTTTTGGTCATACTGGGGATTGAACCCGAGGCCTTCTGCACTGAGTTACAGGGCCAGTCCCTTTTTATTTTGAGACAGGGTCTCTCTAAGTCGCTAAATTGCCCAGGATGGGCTCAAACTTGCAATCCTCTTGCCGTAGCCTTCCAGAATGCTGGGGTTACAGGCATGCACCACACTAGGCCAACCATTCAGAATGTATGATGGCAACTTCTTTGAAGCCTTGTGAAAAGAACTTTAGAAAATGGGGCGAAAATCTTTCCATTTTCCTAGTACTCTTTAAATCTCTTAAAATACACATTTGATTGCTTCTACTAACAATCCTAAATACACTTACCAATGATCTTCCCATATTTGTCACGCTTTACTCCTAGCTCTTTTTCTTCTTTTCTCCACAATTTAATTAAAAGACTAGCAGCTGTCTGATCCTTTTTCCCTCGCCAAGCATTGACATGAGCCGCAGTTTTGGGATTATCACAAAATTCAACCATTATTCCAAGTATTAAATTGCAGAATTTTTTTTGATTTAACTTTAGCAAGAAAATAGAAAAGAAATAAATTGTGATAAAAATTAAGGATGATTACTTTTCTTAAAAAAAGAGAAATACTTGTATTATCAGTAAGTTTCTTCTAGCTCTAGAATCTAAGTATAATTTGGGGACAATCTCCTGTTAAAAACAGACACCAACTGCACTAGGTATTTTTAGTTGTTGTTTTTTGTTTTTTTGTTTTTTTTCCAGTACCAGGAATCGAACTCACAACCTTGTGCTTGCCAGGCAGGCACCGTGCCACTGAGCTACATCCCCAGCCCCGGCTATTTTTAATATTAGAAATTAAAGAGATTAAAAAATATTTCTTATAATTCTTAAAGTAGTCATAAACATATATCATGATCAAAGAAGGCAATTGACTCGGTTGATTTGGAAAAGAGATTTGCAAAGATGACTGAAGATATTTTAAATGCATTTCTTTTTTAGTGCTAGGGATCACATTCAGGGCCTGTACATGCTAGGCAAGTGCTGTACCACTGAACACCCACACCCAGAAAGGTCAGAAGTGACATGGTTTGCTCTTGTGACAGGGTTTTCACATTCTGTGTTTTATTAAAATTTGAAAAAAGTCCTATTAGATACAATATGTTCATTATTAAGACAGCGAGTGATGGTATGAAGATTAAAATGTGAGATGTACTTTTGTATCTTAACAAGCATACCCATAAGTAGAGTATTCAAGCATTCAAAAAAAATCCTCTTATCATCAAGTACATTTTCTTTATTTTTCAGCAAACCAAAAAAAAATTTTTGTTCTTGAGGCAGGGTCTTGCTATGTAGTCCAGGCTGGCTGTGAACTCACTATGTAGCCCAGGCTGGTCTCAAACTTGTGATGATCCTCTTGCCTCAGCTTCCCAAGTGCTAGGATTATAGGTGCGCACCACCACACCTGGCCAGCAAACCAAAACTTAGGCACAGAAATTCCATCCAGTGCAATGGCCTTTACCTAGTCATTTTTCGATGTGAAATTTTTTGTTGATTAATTCTTGTATTGCTAATACAATACAACAGGGGAAACGTAACTTTTTTTGAACTACAAACATGATTGTTTTCCTTATATGAGATACTAATATTACCTACAAAGGATTATAATGAGTTGTATGAGACTGTCTGGCACATGGTAAGCTCTTAATAATATTCAACCAATGTTAGAAATTACTACTGTATACTTGGTAAATATTTTAGTAGAGTTTCATTTGGTTGGGTACTTCTCTTTTAGAAGGAAGAGGCAAATGCTAAAGTTGGAAGTTGATATAAAAACTTCATTAAAGCATATTTATAATTTGTAATTAGTTTTATTGGTTCATATTAAAATAATGATACAGCAATAAAACACAGTGATGTGTCAGGCATGATTTTAACCAATGTAAGTATGGATACACATGTATACATTGCACACATACACACATGTGCATGCATATACATATGTGCATGCATACACACATGTGCACACAGTATCATGCATTTAATTCTTTGCACAGTGTGATGTAGATACTGTTGTTATACTTGTTTTATAGATGATGACATAAAAAAACACTTATTAACCAATTTTATTTTAGGGACATGATGGTATGCAAATAATTTCTGCATGTTTGTTAAATCAAAGTAGGTTTATTATTAATAAAATCAAGAAAGATGGGAAACCTAAGACTGTGGCATAGCTAACACTCCTCATGAGAATCTCTCTCAAAATTTTACTACAACAAAGTTATAATTTTTCGGGGCTGGGGATTTAGGTCAGCAGCACAGTGCCTGCCTGGCAAGCGCAAGGTTGTGAGTTCGATTCCCGATACTGGAAAAAAAAATTTTTTTTTCTTCCATATCATCCTGACTTAGAATTGAGGCTAGAATTGAAGTTTATATTCTTCACACCTGCTAGATGGTGACTGCCTTTACTAAAAGGCTTAATATGCTCCCTCCCGCCCATCCTGCAGAATGGTGGTCTGTCACACATCAGGCTTCCTCAGATACCTCCATACTGTACTTTACTGTTCTCAAAGCAGTTCTTTCTAAATGCTTAGCTTTGTTTAATGAGGCCTTTAACTTTTAATATGTTGGGAAAAGCTAGAAGTTACAAAATGTCTGTGAGACGTGGTGTAGACGCACTCATTACAAACTTTCTTAGCAGGCTGATGGAAAAAACATTCTCTGCTTTCACGTATTTTGGAACACTAAGTAAACTGATTTCTTCACTAGAGGAATTTTTACAATCTTGAATAGTTCATGTTCACATTTTGTGTTTCATGAATCTCCAGGAAAGATTTTGTTTAAGACAATATATTAAACGTGACTTGGGAACATGCTTATTGACAAGATAGCGTTCTGCGGTACTCGGTTTGGAAAGGTTAAAAAGACATTGAGGGTAGGGGTACAGCTCAGGGATGGAGCACATGCTCAGGATGTGCAGTGCACTGGGTTTACGTCTCACCACCCCATTTCTTCTGGACTCACAGTTATTGCAACCATACTTACAGCTAAAACATCCAAAAGGATAAAAATGCCTTCTTTTTCAAGAAAGTAATCTTCTGAAGGATAACATCCCAAGACACAGCACCTTAAATGAAAAGAAAGTTACTCATTGACAAACATTTACTGTTAAAGTCAATGTACAGAACTTTCTTGTTTTTTTTTTTTTTTTTTTTTTTGTACTGGGAATTGAACTCAGGACCTTGTGCTTGTCAGGCAGGCACTTGCGCCACTGAGCTATATCCCCAGCCCCTCAAAGCTTTTTTTCTATTAAGCAACTTTAAAAGACTATTTTTCTTCCTCCCTTTAAATCAAATAACTAGTGATTTTACTTGAAAAATGGAACTTTGAAGACACTTTACCAATGTGAGTTAATTTTAACTTTTTAAAAACAACCTCAATTTATTCTCCACACCTGCCTATTTTTTTCTGCAAGCGTTTTGCTTTCATGACAATAGTTATTCATAAAGCTCTCCACTAGTTGCTCTAACAGCTCTCCCCTCAAGGTTTATCTGTTTACTGTCTCTTTTTTCAGGAGGCTGATGTTCCTCCAGCATCTGACGCCTCTTGACTACATTGCATCTTTGCAGCTGGGATTATTTGCTGACGTGCCTGCTGCTGCAGGGGGCTGCTTCCACTGTCTTCCCCTGGAGGAGCGGGGGCTGAATACGCTATTGCGGGTGGCAGTGGTGGTGGTGGTGGTGTGTAATAACAAGATTAACTTCTGTTCCCCGGGGCACTGCAAGCTTGCTAGGGTCATGTCCCTACACTAAATATGATAATATGATTCCATTTTGACAGCAAGTGAACATTGTTTTTACTGTTGGTTTCATGATGGTGTGTGTGTGTGTGTGGTAGGGTGAGATTGGTGCTCAAAGGGACAAAAGCTTGGTTCTCCCAACACAGGGGATTTTAGGATTTACTCCCTCAGGGGTGACCAGACATGTAGCTGTTTAGTCTGTGAGGGTATTTTTGGATGAGAATAACTGTTGAATCTGTATAGACCTAATAAACCAGATGACCCTAATGTGGGTGTACCTTAATCCGTTGAGACTTGCACAGAATAAAGGGCTGAGGAAGTGAGAACTCCTCTGCCTGACTGCTGAGCTAGGATATAATCCTTCAGATTCCTACTTAGAAGCTGGCTCTTTTTGTGTGTATAGCCTACTTCTCAGACTGGAACTGGGACCATCAGCTCTGCTGGTCTTCAGACCTTCGGTCACAGGCTGGAACTACACCCTCTGCCCTCCTAGGCTCCAGCTTTCTGACTTATTTTCCAGGTTGGAACTTTCCAGCCTTCATAATTATGAGCCAATGTCTTAGGATAAATTTCTTTGCATACACAACCTTGTTTTTTTTCTTTTTTTTGTCTTTTTGAGACAGGGGCTCGCTATGCAGCTCAGGCTGGCCTTGAGCTCACTTTGTAGCCCAGGCTGGTCTCGAGCTCACAACAATCCTCCTCCCTCTGCCTCCCAAGTGCTGGGATTACAGGTGTGTGCTACCACGCCCAGCAACATACACAACTCTTATAGATTCTGTTTCTCTGGAGAACTTTGACAATAGCTAAATGCAAAGGATCAAGAAAAACTAAGACAATCCTGAGGAAGAATGAATAAGTTGGAGGATTATCAGATATCTAGACTTATTAAAAAGATACGACTACTAAAACAGCATAGTATTACACAGAATAGACGAGTGACCAGTAGAATAGAGCAGAGATCCTAGGCGCAGAGCCAAAGTGCAATACTATATGGGGAACAGTGGAGGACAGGGTTTCTCCTGCACTAAGACTGAATTTAAATCACAAAAACAAAGATCTAAATGTAGATGTAAGAGTGATTTCCATTTGAATAATGTACAGTGTTACCTTCCAGAAGGCAAGGGCTTCATTTTTAGACTATGGAAAGGAAAATGGCACTGGGAAGGTTATCTCTGGTATGGTTTTGGGTGAAGAAATTGGTGTCTATAGTTGTCAAGTTAATTTTCTCAGCCCGTGATTCTTCACTTAACTTGGTTATAGTAATACCTACCAAATGCTGTCCAGTGTACTAAAAAGTAGTACACTATAGCCTAAGCCACTCTGTAACTTCTTGGGGTCTGTTTTCATTACATGGAGAATTATATCTACTCCTTCAGTTCCAAAAATTTCCTGTTGAAGAAATTTATTTAAAATTATTTCTTGACACAAATATATAATCCCTTCTCTTCCCCACTTCATTCCCTAAAACTATGTATTTTTCTACCCAGAAAATATTGTTAGTACTAGTATTAGGAAAATAGCATTTTTAATACAATTTAAAAATTTTACTGATTTGTTCTCAGGAATTCATGACAAATTATTCTAAAGCTTACCATTTTAAGAGAAGGCTAATAGTATGCCTACTCCAATAGACTTGGCAATTTATAATTTTTGTTTTTTCTTTTCCTCTATTTAAAAAAGAAGTAAGACTGATTCTGTTATTGTCTTCCATGTTACAACGAATGTAGTCTAAAATCATAGTAGATGAATACTAGATGGTAGTAATTATCATAGAAAATTTTATACTTTTATAATACTTCCGAGAGAGAAATAAGTATGTGAATGGAAGCTGATTTTTTAAATAAATTATGCAAAGTTATTAAGATTTAACATTTTTCCTTCACTGACCACCTTTTTCCTTATCTTGGTCTGTTCTGGTTCCCATCAGCAAGATTATGATGGTATTTGCAGAATAGCCCAGACGCAGGGAGGTAGAATGCAAGAAATGACATCAAGGCTTACAGCTAAACCTACATTTACTCTTCCGTGCCTCTCCTTAAAATCCGTCTACTAAAGCCTTCATGATTTTATATTATTATCTTTCCAGTCCCACCTTTCTTTATTTAAATTATAAATTTTGAGACACATTTTACTATGCAGATAAAAAAGATTGAAGGGAATTGAGTTCGTGTTATGAATTTTACTTTTAGGTATGAACCTAATTGAAACACCCAAACAACATTCATAATAGTACAGTCCACTCTGGACAATTGGCAGTTTCTTATAATGATAAATATATACCTCTTTTATGTCTATAAATTCTAATCCTAGGTATTTACTCAGGAGAAATGAAAGCGTTATATCCACAAGAAGGACTAGTCCAAGAATGTTCAAGGAAGCTTTCTTCATAATTATAGCAAAGGAAGACAACCCAAGTGCTTATAATTTGCATGATGAATAAACAGATTTTGGTATATGGGCCACAAAAAGGAATTACCTAAGGATCGAGATCTATCTATCTATCTATCTATCTATCTATCTATCTATCTATCTATCATCTAGAGCCAAAACATGTATACACACACACTATAGGAAAAGAAAAATAGTACGATGTTTTTTCAACAGATGGCATTATCCTCATTTGGGGGATCCTAGAGGATGCTGTATATCACAGAAAACTCACTAGGCTGCCGGCCCTTAGAGAAGAAATTAAAGTTGCATGTGCAGCAATCTCAATGACCAAAGTTTCCCAAGCAGCAGTTTGTCATACTAATAAATGTCTGGAAGCTTATGGCACCACTTTGAGCACCTTTGCAATTGTAGAGGCCAAAGGTAAT